TTATATATATATATATATATATAGTTATATTTATTTTTTTAACATATATTATATTTAACATATATTTCTTTAATATATAATAGTTAAAATAAATTTTTATTTATTATATTGATTGAAGTGATTGATATTTACATTTACTTTTATTTAGCTTATTCAAGAAATGCTACCTGATTTTAAAGAAAGACATATACCTCCAAAAGATGCTCTGGATGTATACATTGAACATAGATTATTAATGGAGAGTCGTAATCGACATCTTGGAGAACAACGTGATCCAAGAAATAAATATGCTCCAGAACTTATGAGACGCTTGTATATAATTTTAATATTTTAATTTTTGTTTTCATATGCAAATATAAATTTATATATATAATACAAATAAATTTTATGAATATTTCAGTGAAGTATATTTTAAAGATTTTGATACAACAAAAGCATATTCTGTAAGAGATATAAAAGCTGATAAAATTGGAAAATTAATTACGGTGCGGGGTATAGTAACAAGAAGTAGTGATGTAATGCCTTTGCTTGTTGTTGCTACATATACATGTGATCAATGTGGTGCTGAAACATTCCAACCAGTAAGAAATGAATATTTTCATACACAATGGATTGAAAGTCTAATTAAATTAAAATTTTTAGGTTCAATCTCTTAAATATATGCCATTACGAGAATGTCCCAGTGATGATTGTCGTATAAATAAATCTGGTGGTGTATTAGATATGCAAACAAGAGGATCAAAATTTGTGAAATTTCAAGAAATAAAAATACAAGAACATGTATGTTTTATACATATATAAGTTTTTTATATTAATCCTTAATAATAATTTTTTTATTATAATAACATTATTTTAATAATTTTAAGAGTGATCAAGTTCCTGTAGGTCATATTCCAAGAGCATTGACAATATACTGCAGAGGTGAAACAACAAGAAAATGTTTACCTGGAGATCATGTACTTATTACGGGTATATTTTTACCTATTATAAAATCTGGTTTTAATGCTCGAGTGGGTGCAGCTCTTTTGAATGAAACATATTTAGATGCACATGTATGAAATTGATCATTTTAATAAATTTGTAATACATTATTAATATTTAATATATAAATAATCATTTATATATTTTGTAGAGAATCGTTCGTCTTATTAATTCGCAAAGCTCTGATGATAATGACACGATATTAAAAGATGAGGAATTATCTTTATTTATGGAGGATGATTTTTATGGTAAATTAGCTCGTTCTATCGCTCCAGAAATTTATGGACTTGAAGATGTTAAAAAAGCCCTCTTGTTACTCTTAGTTGGTGGTACAGATAAACACAAAGATGATATTAAAATTAGAGGTTTGTTTTATACATTCATGAATATTATTTATATCTATATATTTTCTTTTTTACTATTTATTATTTATTATATTTATTATTTGCAGGTAACATTAATATTTGTTTAATGGGTGATCCCGGAGTTGCTAAATCTCAATTACTTTCATTTATAACAAGATTGGCACCTCGTTCTCAATATACGACAGGCAGAGGATCTTCCGGAGTAGGTTTAACCGCTTCGGTTATGAAAGATCCTTTAACTGGTCAAATGATGCTCGAAGGAGGAGCTTTAGTATTATCCGATCAAGGCGTTTGTTGTATAGATGAATTTGATAAAATGGCAGATGCTGATCGAACTGCTATTCACGAAGTGATGGAACAACAAACTATATCAATTGCCAAAGCAGGCATTACAACTCGTTTGAATGCAAGAGTTTCAATATTAGCCGCAGCAAATCCTGCTTACGGTAGATATAATCCTAAAAGAACAATTGAACAGAATATTCAGTTACCTGCTGCTTTATTATCACGATTTGATTTACTGTGGTTAATTCAGGATCGAGCAGATCGTAATAATGACTTAAAGTTAGTATTTATAGAAATTTTACTCATAATTATAATTATAATAATTTTATTAATATATTTTTACAGAATGGCTCAACATATAACTTACGTTCATCAACATTGTATACAACCACCGATGCAATCGCAAGCTTTGGATATGAATTTAATGAGAAGATATATTACTTTATGTAAAACAAAACAGCCCGTTATTCCAGAAGAGTTGACCGATTACATAGTTGGTAAGAATTTCATTAACTTTTTCTTATTTTATTTTATTTTATTTTTTTTATATAATATCTATATAATATTTTTTTCTATATGTATAATTATATTTTTATATAATGATTATTTTCAGAGTCTTATGTAGAAATGAGAAGAGCAGCTCGCAATGGTGAAGATAAAACTTTTACATCTGCGCGTAATTTACTAGCATTATTACGTTTGTCGACTGCATTGGCACGTTTAAGATTATCAGATATTGTCGAAAAAGCGGATATCATCGAGGCGAATAGATTAATAGAGATGTCTAAGCATTCTATCAATTATTCCGAAAGATTACTAACAAATGTCCAACAGAATCCAATAAATCGAATCTTTCATCTTATTAGAGAATTAGCGGGTGATAAGAAAACTGTTAAAGTATCAGATATATTAGAACGATGTACTAATAAAGGATTTAAACCTGATGAAATTAACGATTGTATTGAAGAATACGAGGCATTGAATGTGTGGCAAGTGAATCAAACAAGAACACAAATTACTTTTATCTAAATATTTCGTTTCTCGTATTTAATGTATTGAATGCATTATTTTTTATACTTTGATATGTAATTTCAAAAGTATTTTTCTATATTTTGACTTATTATTATAAATAAATTATATATTTTTTACATTACAACGCGATACATTGATATATGATGGTGAATTTATTCAGTTGTGTATTTTTATATATTAATAATTTTATTTTAAATTATAATGGAATCAACGCCAAAGAAGATAATAGCTGGTGGCGACACGCAACGTCTTTGGAAAGCATCAAAAGTATCATTTGGGTAGGTAAGTAAGCAAGTATATATCTACTAGGTAGGCAACTAGTTCGGAGTGGTTTGAAAGTTAGGTGGGAGAAGGTATAGGGTAGCGACGAATCGGAACGAGCGTAGTGGGAGAGTGTCAGTCGGTCGAATACGCGGTGCCGCTCTCGGCACTTCAGTCGCATCGAGCTACTCGTGGAACGCGTGTCGTGTTGTGCATGCATGCATGCTTGCGTGCGGTTAAACGTGCGTGCATGTGTGTGCTTATTATTGTGGTGTACCCGGAGTGGTCGCGTGTGCATGTGTGCGGGTCATAACACGGTGTTGCGCGGTCTCGACAGTGCATGTCGTGATTACTATAGCCATCGTCTCGTCCGTCCGTCCATCGCGATCACGCCAAATGCACGTCTCGCGCTTCTCGAGATCTTGCAGTAACACCCGTGGTTGTTGCTGTGCCGTTTGACAGCGCGGCCGATTCGAAGAACGAAGAGGAAGGGGAAGGAAGCCGCGTCTAGTCCCGCGGTTGATGACTCTTCGAACGATCGTACCGAATACGCGACAACGAAGGAGGAGAAAGAGGAATTGAATCGTCTCGTTGCTCGTGCTGCGTCTCTTTTTCTCTGTTCTTCTTACGCTTCACAGCACGATTTACGGAACTTATCACCAATCTTTTTCGCATAGTTTCCGCTCCGGTTTCTCTTTCTTTCGCTTTTGCTTTTCTTTACCGATTCATCTCGCCGATTTGGCCATTTTGCCAAAATGAAAATAATTCAGAGGTATCGTCGTGCGATTCTGGCACCTGTATCGATCGTGATATTATTATGCGGTTGTACCGATCTCGTGTCATCTCGATCGCCTCGTTTTGCCGAACATCCAAAAAATGATACCGAGTTCGTGTCCGTTGATTGTGAACGTGTTAAGCCGTTTTTCGAGAGCAAAAATATCACGATTTTGGTTGATACGAAGCAAGCTACTGCAGAAGACATTGCAAAAAGTAAGTGATTAGTTTGATTATTTTGATAATAATTTTTCGATAATTTGCTTATACGAATTATGTCTGTAATTTACAATTTAATATCGAGTCGAATCAAAAAAACCGAATTCAGAAAACTATTCTCATTTTAAACCAATCTTGTTGAACTTAAAAGTCATATTTAATTTCTATTGGTCGAGAATTTCGCAAATGAGTAAAACTTGGCGTAGCAGGTACTTTGCGATTCGTTGGAGGAAATGATCTAAAAGACTTGATTATAGTCGGTTGACTCTAATTATGAAGTTTTATTTGGTAGTCCTCGAAAAGTCGTTACATTAAATGACACTTAATGTTATTACATCAAATAACACTTGAGTACTTCTTGTAAAAACCTGTTTCAATTGTCGTGAGAGCGATAAATCTTACATCATAGGTATCTTTTATGGTATGTTTCTTACCGACACAGTCTGATAAATGATGTCCGTTTATAGAGAAACTTTTCGCGCGCTTATATGCAATTTCCTTTAAAAGTTATGTCGATATTTAGGTTATTCAAAAAACTTGATTGCATTCCTTTAAGCATAAATAAATTTCAAATATGTTTCAATGTTATAAAATTTATTACAACTTTCAATTGGTTTTTTATATTTAAGAAAATATTCGATTGTTAATAAAAAATGATTGACTTTTTATATGTACATATAAAATTATTCAACGTCAGATAATTGTGAACGTATCATTAAATAATCATATTATATTAATTATTATTAGCTTACCGTATAACGTATAAGTTAATAAATAATTGAATTTCCAAAAAAAATAGAAACAAATTTTTATGTAAATTTTCTTGTAACTGTAAAAATATAAAATACGCTTACGTATTTGTCTCTTTATTAAATTTCGGTCAAGAAAAGAAAATGAGATTTTCGGATATAATTGATACAAAATCCGCACAGTCACACGTAACGTGTTCAAGGTAAAACCAAACCGATACCGCAATATGTGGCGAAGTGGTTAAAGATCTCGTTTATTCATCCCAAATTATTCTCGAGCAATACGGAAGTGGACATTAATTGTTAACGCGTAAATCAGCGTTACATAAGGGCATGATTTATATCATCCAAATGATATTATCCGGAAAAACAATCGCGTGCCGATTCTCGATATGTTGTATGCTACGTTTTTCGTCCGGAGGGCTGAATGAACGAATTACTCCTCCTCCTCCTCCCCTCTCTCTCTCTCTCCTCTCTCTCTCTCTCTCTCTCTCTCTCTCTCTCTCTACTACTACTACTACT